TGACGACAAGATGGATGATCCAGCCGCTACCGCCCGGGGCAAATCCCAGCGCAAAACCACCACCGCCACCCGCACCACCACCACCACCACCACCAGCGCAGAGAAGGACGCCAAAGCCCGGAAACGGGAGGCGGCCAAGGCGCAACGCGAACAGGAGCGACAGCGGGAGAAGGAGCGCAAGCAGAGACTCAAGGACGAGAAAGCCCGGGAGAAACAGCTTGCCGCCGACATCGCGGAGGTCAACAAGCTGAAAGTAACGAAGAAGGAGTCGACGCCGGAGATGCTGATCGACCTCGCCTCGACGTTCGAAGGGACGAGCGTCGGGAACCAGACGACGGAGTTCATGAAGCATCTCGGGGTGGAGCTGTCGTTCTTCGCCAGTGCGATCCCCAACGTTGTGAGATGGCGCCGCAAGGTCAAAGCGACCTACAACGAAGCCCTCGGGTACTGGGAACCCTGTGCGCCGCACGTTCGCGACGAGGACGAGCATGTGCTCTGTCTGGTGCCGGCGCAGGAGTTCGTCGACATGGTCTTGTCGTCGTCGTCGTCGTCTGCTTCGCCAGAAACCGATACAACAACCCTAGAGCAACACATCCAGACGCTGAAATCCGCCTACCCCAACCGCACCCCGATCTACCTGATTGAAGGCCTGACCATCTGGCTGCGCAAGAACAAAAACTCCCGCAACAAAGCCTACGTAGCCGAAGTCCGTCGCCAGTACGACGAGGCTGCAGCAGCAACAGCAGCAGCATCATCCACCGACCCGACCACCACCACCACCACCACAGCAACCACCCGCCGCACCCGCAAGAAACCCCAACAACCCACCAACAAACCCGAAACCACCCCGCCCTTCGACGACGACACGATCGAAGACGCCCTCCTCGACCTCCAAGTCACCCACGCCTGCCTGATCCACCACACGGCCGCGCCCGCCGACTCGGCCGAGTGGATCAAGAACTTCACCGAGCACATCTCGACAGTCCCCTACCGGCGCGAGCGCATGGCCGTCAACGACTCGGCCTTCTGCATGGACGTGGGCCAGGTGAAACCCGGCGAGAACCGCTCCGACACCTTCGTCAAGATGCTGCAGGAGGTCAACCGCATCACCGCCAGTATGGCCTACGGCATCGCCGAGCGGTACCCGAGCGTGCTGGATCTGGTGCGCGGGATGCGTCGCGAGGGGCCCGGGCTGTTGGAGGATGTCAAGGTATGTTTTTTCAGCCCTCTGCTTCCATGGTGTGATGTATGGGGCTGTCCGTGGGAGTGTGAGTCGGAGACCGAGGTTGAGGCTAATGTTCCCGGATGGTTTGCAGAAATCCGCGAATAAGAACGGCGCCCTTACGGATTCGCGCATTGGGCCCGCGGCGAGTCGGCGGTTGTACAAGGTGTTTATGGGGATGGAGCCTTCGTCTACGGATGTTTGAGACGGTGTCCAACTAGCCAGGTAGGGCTCGGTAGGGCTCGGTAGAGGAGGTGCCTAGTTGAGTGGTTTCCCTTTGTGGGGTGGTGTACCCTTTAGACCAGGGTAACCTTAGTATTATTGTCAGATCTCCCTGTCTAGTTGGCGTGGTGTTTACATGGACAATGAATGGTTCTTCAAATGAATTGTTACAAACCAAAAGCGAATAGATGCCATAACTCATGACCTAGAGTGACAAATTAATTCAGATCCTTGGGCAAGAAACCAACAACCCCAGAATTGACACAAGGCTATGTATGCTCAGTATGCATGTGGCTGGACACAAGAGTTCCAAATATGACAACACAAAAGTCAAACAAAGAGAAAATCCCGATCTATATACCAAATATACCAAAGAGGTCAATATACCACAAAGATCAGCGCTTTCCAGAACCAAACAAAACGCAAGCCAGATGGTAAGGTAGACGGCAATATTCCGTCCCTCAAAGTCAAACTACAACCCCCCGTCTCCGCCAATGCCGCCAGGCCACCAACCAGGCTCCGATGGCCACCCAGACGCTCACGGTGCATCCCACCGCCCAGAGCCCGTAGCACGACCAGCCGTGACACTGACCGTCCGCCGTGCCGCTCCCGCCGTCCGTGGCGTCCTGGTAGCCGCGCGAGTAGATCAGGCCCCAGGCCGCGGCGCCGGCGGCGGGGACCATCGCGACGATGCCCCAGTTCGTGCCGAAGTTCTCCACGCCCCAGACCACGGAGATGATGATGGGCACGAGGGAGAAGGCGCTACCGTAGCCGAGGCCGACCAGGGCGGTCGTAATGTGGGTGAGGGCCGGATAGTCGAGGGGCAGTGGGGAGGCGAGGAGGAGGTAGCCCAGAGAGAGGAGGAACGCGGAGGGGAGAAGGAACGCAAGGCGGGTGAAGGTGACTCGGTTGCGGGGGTCCATTGGGGACGCCGGCCGATTGATGTCCGGGTTGCCTCCGGGCAACAGGTGACGGGCGTGCGGGGCGAAGAAGTCGGAGAGTGAGCCGGTGAGCAGTCGGGCGATCGTCGAGGTCAAGGCGACGGTGGTGACGTGCGTGGAGGGGAGGCCCGCGGGGGACGGGGCATTGGGGAGGGTGGAGATGGGGGTTAGGGTTTGTACAATTGTGCCCAGCTGGAAAGACGTGAGTATGTATTGCATGCCAGATTAGGTTTGTTTCGTGCGGCAAGGAAAGTGCATACGTTGTTGATGTAGGCCTCGCCAGGTCCAGTAACCAAGAAGAAGCCCACTGCAAGCCACCACATGGACCGGTCTGCAAGAAAAACCTTGGTCTCGTAGTTCAAAAGCCAATTCTTCTTCCTGCGTTCCTCCTCTTCCCTCTGCTTGTCCAGTCTTGCTGCTTCCAGCTCCTCTTCCGACCGTACAAGTGTGCGTTCCTCGTCCGAGTCGCCCACATCGTCTGCCTGTGAGAATGTCCCGTACGCCGATCGGACCTCATCTCTTGATCGGAAGAACTCACTTTCTTCGAGGAGCCCGCTCCTCTCGAGTTCCTCCACCGCGTCATCGATGAATTTCTCCTCATCTTCCTCTACGATCTTCAGGGCGAACGTACCGACGACGCCGATGCAAAGCAACAGGAGAGCGAGGAAGACAAAATACCTGTACACATCGACATCGCCACGGCTGCCATCCTCGTTGCGTTCATAGAGCAAGTATGTTCCCACTTGACTCTGCCACATGCCACTAAGCCCAAACCCGGCAATCGGAACGGCCAGCATGATCCCCTTGTGCTTGCCGCGGCCGAAATTCTTCGCGCATGTCGTCACGGCAGCCAGATACATGCAGCTGGTGGCGGTGCCAATGGCGATGAAAGCCACAATCATCACCCAGAAGGGCCAGCCTTGGCCACCGGCATCGGGCGGCGGTCCGCTCCGGTAGGCAAAGGCAGCCAGCAGGTAGCCGGCCCCGAACACGATTCCGGAGAGCAAAGCCAGAGGAGACGGAGAGTATCGGTCGCAGAGGTACCCAAACAGGGGAACAGGGAGGTACATCGAGACCTCCGCGGCGATCGAGACCGCGTTGACCCGAAGCTGGGTGTAATGAAGGCGGGTCAGCAGAAGGGGACCATAGAGAGAAAAAGCCGTGATGCTTCCAGCTCCCAGACTGATAGTGATTGATAGCTTATTAGCCAGAGCTCCGCAGACGGTCGCGTTACACAACGATTAGACCTTACCAGGTAATCACTCCCCAGACGAAGCTGCCAATACGGACGACTTCCCTGGCCATCTTCTTGCGATCGCGTTCGAGGATCTCTTCGACCACATCGTTCAGCAGCCCGTCCTCGTCGTTGGCCGCGGCGAGTCTTGATACTGGTCGTGACCGGATAGCTCCGTGCTCCTCCACGTCACCGCCGGCATCGAACCCATCCAACAGAGGACGGTGAGAGTCGAAGTCTCGCTTGTCGATGGTCGAGACGGTTTGTCCATTGGATCCTGTCATGCTGCGTGTCGTGCTTCAACTTCTTTAGAAAGTCTAGGACTCAAAAGGGAGAATGACAGGTTTGAAGCAGCAAGCCAGACACAAAGGCGTGGCTGCGAATGTGACTCCTCAGGTGGAGGCGGACTATGGTCATCCGAGGAAAGGACCGAGAGTGGTTTAGCAAGAGATCGTCGAAGAGCCTCTGGACAGCTGAGGGTAACAAATGACCAGGGATTGCTACTGTACCAGAGTTAGAGGATGTAAATCAATGCAGGCTTAAACTCTCATGGATTTAAGATGGAATTACCGAAACAGGAGCTAAGCTGTCGGGGAGAGAGTGTGGAGTGTTGAGAGTCGAAGGAAGGGGAAGCCAAACCGAGGAATGATGCGCGATTAGATAAGGTCCGCGCCGCCTTATCGCCAGAGCACGTGATTGCATTATTCATCAATCCAATCTCCCCCTTGCACAACCACCCACCTTGCCTCGCCTAGCCAGCCTATAGTCAAGCCTTAGGAAGTTGAAGTCCTAACGTAGAGTGTGAATTATGAGTTCTTGTCTAGCTACTGCGCCCATATGTATGTACACAAGTACCACAAGTCTCGAATATTACCCTGTCAAACTGATTTAAACAGAAAAAAAGAAAACGAGTAAGAACAAAGCCACAATTAGAAACCCCAGAGCTGTGCACCTACTCCCAGGAGGTATAGAGCAGTAAAACATGTCCAAGAAAGGAGCAACCGGAAATGACCATCAGAAAACACAGACAAGGTAACGGGTCTGAAAAACAATTTCAAACATGCCATGTGAATATGGCTGCAATACAGTAACCTTCCCCTACCATGCTCCAGGCATGAATAGACGAAGATTTGGATTAGGTAGCATAGTGCCGTTATAATTCGTCAATATCGTTTCGCTTGCGACAGGATGACAGGTCATAGCCGTCAATTACTGACAGCAAGTCCGCTGTCACGAAACCAATCCCCGCATTGCTTGCTCGGGCAGAACATCGAGTAAGGTGTGGAAATGGTGGGACGTTGAGTCGAGGCGGCTACTAGGCAGATGATCAAAGGAAAGGGTTGTCGCTCGCGGGAATCATTCCAAACACGAGGATCAACCACTAAAAGCTGACCTCGCCGGGATCACTCTCCATGACGTTTTCATCCCAAAACCGCTCCGATGATTCGTCTTGGTCCGAGTGTCGAGATCCGAGAGCAATAGCCTCACCCTCGCCTCTTTCTATGTAGTCATCGTGGCTGACTTCTTTCAAGATCCGTTGAAAGTACATTCGTAGAGTCCGAAGACCGCGTAAGTAACCACGATCAATATCGTCGGGATGCTGGGGCGGACAAGGAGCGTCGGGAGAAATCTCGTCCTCGCCTGTGACACAGTTTGCGAAGTCCACGATTTTCAGCTGCACATCTAGATAGCCATCATCAGAGCTCCGACGTTGCAAGTTATCTCGCATGGTGCCGGACCCTGACCGACCATTGACTTGGGTAGCTCCATCTGTCGGGTTTGGGTCACCATCGTAGAGGATCAGAAGGCTGCTGGCATACAGGCGATAACGCTTGAGCCTTCTGATCATATTCTCCAGTCGTGCCAATTTCTCAAGGATGACAGGAATCTTCTTTGTCACGCTTCGCTGACTAGCACCATCGTAAAGAAATCGGGTAAGAGCATCCTGGAATTCACGCCCAGCCTTTAGATCGCGACCAAAGTATTTGTCCTCGAATGAGTACTCTTGTTTCTTCACATTCCACGTTTGCATACCACACAAACGGACACCTAGCTGCTGGGAAGTTGTTGACTGGCACTTGCGTCGTTGAGATTTACGCTTTTTCTCATCAGCCTCAATGCCGTACTGACGCGTTCCCATCTTTAGATCGAGGACGCAAGGCTTGTTCATGCCGGCTGTCAAATCCTCCAGCAACAGGAAAAATTGAACCCTGTCATCCTTCCGTGTCTGCGCTTCTTTGGGATTGGAGGGGAGCAGTACGTGATCATCATGCCTAGAGCCCTCTTCCGAAGGTTCAATCAAGGTCTGGTCGGCAGGCTTGGCGGCAACAGCAGTCTTGAGGTTGGGGAGAGGCGGTCCGAATTGGTTAGTCATTCGACGTCCTGATGGCGATTTGACGGATACATCGCCCTCCATTGGGAAGACACCGTCTTCCTTGTCGCCTCCGTACCCATCGTCGTCATAAAACAGCAGCTCGCCTCCACCTTGTCCAGAGCCTAAGCTGCCCCGTCTCTGCAATCCGCTCCCTGAACGGCGGCGCCTCATGGGCCGACTTCGCGAAAGTGAACTAGCACGGGGGGGGGACTCTTCAGTTCTGACCTTCTCAAGTCGACTGTGGCCTGCATCCAAGGCCGTAGATGCCGATGAAGACAGCCCCGGCCCGTCATTTGTCTGCTTTGCAATGTCGATGCCAGCAGCGAGCGTCGGCGCGTCTTCAACAGAAGCAGTACGACGACTCAAAGTTCGGTCTTCAGAGAGATTAACTCTACGGCGAATGCCGTCTGATGATGTCCTTGGCAGGTTCAGATGACCACGTGCGTGGCGTCGGTGATGGTGCACAGCAGGGGGACTGAAGACTTCACGGAGTACTTGCTCTTGCAACTGTCTGTTGACAGTGGTCGCGCCCCACTGCTTCTTTTTAAGCACCTGGGGAGATAGTGGACCATCAGCCAAGCATTCATGTCCGTTTTGTCGGCTTGACATGGATTCAATTCCGGTCGAGAAGCGTCGCTGCGTCATCGACCCATCGGCAGTCCTTGGACGCTGACAATGAGAGAATAGATCTGCTGGAATAATATGTCTGTTGTTTTCCAGTATCACTTGCGGTATGATGCCAGTGACCTGCTTCTGACTGAAGATACGTGGCTGATTGGTGTCCTTAGAGGGGCATGAGCTATTTGCAGCCGTTGAGTCTTTGTTGTCAGCAGGGTTAGAATTGCTCGCAGTATGGTTGGTGTCTCTGTGTTCTCCGTTGGTTTTAGTCGTATCCTTGGGTCGCTTTGGTGTCTTTGAGAAAGTGACATTGAGAACGCCAATGTATCTAGCGACAATGTAAGTAGAAGGTCGTAATGATTTGTGGAATTGAACAGATGGCATTTTATACGTGCCTTGGCAGAAACATCAGCATTTCGGGGTGTCGGCGCTCAATGCGCTCGTAGAATTCATTCTCCCTGTTGTTGAGCTGTTTGCATACAGCCCGTCTAGAAAATCGAAATACGGTCGTATGGCCACCCACTTGATGACGATAGGGTTTGAGCTCCACTGCGCCGAGAGGTGCGGCGTTACTATGCTTGCGCCGCGCACGAGGAAACCTCGGGCCCTGGGTTGGGGTGGCAGTGGGCGTGACATCAGCTTCGTCTGTCAAGCTCGATTCCTCGTCCCGAACAGACATCCCACTATCATCAGCGGATGCAAACTCAGATTCGCATGTCGAATAATAATCAGTGGTGCGCTCGGGAATGGAAGCATGAGGCTCTTCATTAAGTTCTTCTATTGGAGCACTCTGCATGCCCTGTAGGTCGCCGTGGAGGATTCTACTATCATTTTTAGAGCGAAGAGATATGTCCACATGATTACCTTCCAGGTCATCAGAAACCTGTCTCTTTGGCATCCGAACGTGGCCATTCTGCGCAGTCGAGATATCGATTGGAGCCCCACCATGTTCAGTGTCCGCATACGGCGGGATGGAATCGACCTCTTCTGCTATCGTGACACGCTCATGAGGGAAATAGACGGCAGAGGATATTTGTTCATCCTCTTCCTCTTCCAAAGGACGACGCTGTTCCCGGTCCGAGTCAGATCCGGACAGGTGAGAACCCAGAATGCCTTGGCTTGCATGGTCTTTGGAGAAATAGTCTCGCCCCCTCTCAGCGAATTGGGTAGGGATACTCCGTGAAAAGGAAGTGCCACGGGCTCCGCCGGGTGTGAGGTGAAAGTTGCGGATCTCCTCTAGAAGGCTTCGGGGTAGAGCCCGAGGCTTTGATTTCTTGAAGTTGTCCCCGTGCCTCATCTGACTTATATCACTTTCTATACTTGGCAAGATCAGTGGAGCATCAGCGAGCGATAGTTGCGACAAACTCTTGGTGTTTCTGAGTTCCCCTTCGTCAGACGGGAATGAAGCCTCCAGTGGGGAGTCACAATGCTCCAGGGCAAAGCGAGGCTCCGAATGAGTGACCCGATGGTGTGGATCATTCGGCTCTGTGGAATCATCGTGTCTGCCGGCGCGTTCCTCTCTTCTTTTACGATCAGGAGAGGTAGTGTTTTCCTTGAACAAGCCTAAGTAGTGACTCGACTTACGGCTGCGCACATGGGAGGCGGGTTCCGCATTTGCCAGGTTGGCTTCGATTGATTGCTCGACTCTGCCACGCCGGCTACGACTCGAACTTCGTTCCGGTCTGTTCTCACGTGTGCCCTCATGTGGTTGCGACATCGACCAGGCATGGTGGGCTGTGTCGACACTGGTTACAGGAGAGTGCACGCCAGGCGAAGAGACAGAGGAGTGTAAGGGTGGCAATGGCGGCAATGGCGGCAATGGCGCATCATGAAGGGAGGCTGACAAAAGACTGCGATGGGCTAGATGATCCGCCAACGCAGCCGGCTTGTTAGCAGCACCATCAGAAGAAACTTTTCTAAGGGGTTGCAAGCTCTCCCATGCAGAAAATGGGGCACTCCGATGTGCCAACCCCGATTGCTCGTCCACAATGGTGTCCGAGTCTACCGGGAGCAGAGGGGTAGAATGCGGGACCCCCGGCGGAAGCAAAGAAGGAGTGTCTAGCGGATGCTTCCTGCGGACGTCAACTTCCATGTGGGAGGTGCCGACGCGATTAGAGCGGGGAATGACCTTGTGAGGAGAATCCGAAGAAGCAAAAGCAGACACATCCTCAAGCAGAGGAGTCAGACTTGCAGGTGGTTCATGATTTGTATCTTCTGAAGGCGATAATCGCGGGGTGGTGCTAGGGTCGGTCTCGGAAGGCAGATAATGAGTTGCGAAGATGCTATCTCTCTCAGACAACTGTGGGCTATGAGAGCGGTCGGGACGGGACAGCCTTTCCACGGGGGCTGCAGTGGGCCGTTTTAGAGGAAAGGTAGAGGCGGGCTTAGCCCATTGATGAGCCGTGGGAGATTCTGCGCGGGATGGAGAAGGAGCTTGCTGGGCATCTTGATGTATGAGCTGGCTCCGAGTATCGTTGTGGCGCCGCTGCTGGTCGCGCGGGAGGTCGGGCCCTTCAGAGCAATCATATTGGGCAGATGCATCAGGTGTCACCAGGGGTCCTGACCAGGTATTGTCTGTCGCGGATGGAGGTCTTGACATGGGGGGGACATTGGTCGGGATGCACAATGAGGACAGGGTGGGAAAGGAGCCGAGAAGGAGAAGAAACGCTGTTGGGGTTGGAAGAATATGGTTGGGTGTTTCACTCGGGGGGAGGCGGGAGAAAGGGAGCTGGCGTCACTGGGGGTTTAGCAACTGGAGACGATCGAGAAGATCAAGAAAACATTAGCCACGTTCTGGGGCATAGACACCTTACAGGCTGGAGAGAAAGACTTTGAGTGGGGATGGTCTGTTTTTTTTTCCCCCTTTTCTTTTCTTTTCTTTTCTTTTTTTTTTTTTTGGTTGTTTTTGGTCAGGGTCCGGGAAACTCACTGACAGGCACGAATGAGGCGTTATCGTGGCTTGGAAAAGAAGTAGTACTGGGTAATAAGGTCGAGGGGGTGGGAAGGAAGAGAGAGAGGGAGAGAGAGAGAGTCGGAATGACGGAGGCGAACTATTCTAGACTAGCTAGTTGGGGACGAGGAGGAAGTACCTAAGAAGTCGGTAATCTTCTAGGGCAGTAAGGCGCAGTAGCCGGAGGAGAAGAAGCAGGAAAAGTGAGGAGAAGGAAGCAGGCAGTAAGCCGCAGGAGTACAGAGGTAGCTGCAGCAGTAGACAGAAAGCCAGTCAAGTAGGTTCAGGCAGCCAGATAGGTTGAAGAAAGATACTCCGTCTCAAAATAGTAAAGCAGGGAAAGGTCCAATTCAAGGTTAGGTAGGTAGTAGTAGTAAGTAGTAGTTAATCCGGAGTAGTAAGTACTGTGGAGTGAGTAGGTAGTTGGTAAGTTCAAGGTTAGTAGTAGTAGTGAAGAAGGAAAGGAAAGGAACCAAATGAAGAGAAGCGTTTGGCTGAACCAACAAAACGATAAATGACGCGGATCTTCGTCACCGCCTTTGTGGATCCTCAGCTAAATGTCTTTTCAAGTTATGACTGGTCACTGTTCCCTCAGGAAAATGATAAGCAACAATGGTGGAAATGGAAAAGGAGTCCAGAGCAAAAATGGGAATTCAATTCAGAAACTTTAACAAAAAAAATATGTGAGTTGAAACAAGACCAGATGGTGTCCGGAGTACGGAGTAAGAAGAAACAACGCTAAATGAAGGTTGTTCCTTAAGGATGCTTGCTCTTATTTCTTCTACTACTCCGTACAGCCACCACTTTTAAATGTTTTTAAAATATCCTCCTGCCTTTGCACCAGTCACAAACTAATACCTTACTGTTCAACTAACTAACTATTAGTCACTACAGTAGATAGCTAGGGAGGATTGAGCAGATGAGGAAATCAATAATCACCTGCCAGGATGCGCTTGGGTTCCCAATTCACTCTGTGTATCCCTGGATCCAGACGCCCCAAGGAGAAATAGGAAATGATTTAGCTAATAAGAATCCCCCAATCCAGCAGGTGATTGTGAAATGGCTGTAGGTACTGAAACCTTACGGAGAAGGCAAATTCCCTCCGCAGTACGGTCTCTCCCCCCTACTCCCTATTCTTAGTACCTCCCTACAGGCTATTAGTATGCAGCAGTCCTCCCTGGATAGAGCCTCTTGTTGTAGGAAGCTCAACAGCATGTCCTCGTCTGATCATTCCTGAGTGACTTACCAGACACTTTCATGCTGAGGTCCCGTGGACGCTCTCTGGCATATGATTGATGGTCGATAAGAACTTAAAGCCAGCTTTCATGAGTCTTGTCTTCTATTCAATCAGCCTACGGCAAGGGCTGTCGGGACACTCGGAATGCAGCTATGACGATATAAGTACTCGATCGGCCATTCTCTGAGCTGAGGGAATTGTTGTCAGCAATACATCCTATGAGTGAGTCAATCACTGGTGAAGAGTCGCTTCCCTGAATATGTGACCTGTCTTCTCGGGCATCATACTGCATCCTCGCAATGCTTGCGAATAGATATTCATATGTGCAACCGTCTTGTACAACCTCATTCTTTTGGAGGCTTTTTTTTTCGAATCACCTTGCATATGTACTGTACCGAGTTCTCGGATCCCGGTGGGGTTGCGATTTGGGGAATCCGCTAGATGCGATGCTAGACCGTCCGATAAGCGATAGATACCTTGTATAACCAAATCATAGAGAAGAAATGAATCAATTGATAGATAAGGAATTCTGCTCCATATCCATTGTTGTACAGAGTACATACTCCACATGCCTGCATGGGTTGTGATAGCCATTAGATAAGGTCGGAAGAAAGGAGAAATTGGCTAGTATGGGTGCATAAGCTGTCGCCAGGCAGTCGATAGTTACTATGAGTTCAGTACAGAGTACATCTCAGTAAGAGGAATTTGTACTGAGCACTGTGCAATGTACGGAGTACTCCGTAGTTTTGTGCAGTACTTCCCCACCCCCGCCGCATGACCCGTTCCGCATTCAAGGTTCCAAGTTGGATCCCAGACCCTCCCGTTTGATCTACCAATCAATAAAAAACGTGATCGTCCGGCTGGTCAACGGGGTCAATGACCTCTGCCGTATGAAGTACCTCAGGCATTGAGAATAATGCCGGACTTTGGTGCCTTATCCTGGATTCAACCAAAGACTAATCGAAGTTTGAAACTGCAATCTCGACCTTCTCTCCACTCCAGGCTCGAACCATTGTCATATTTTCATTCACTATTCCCAGCTTGCGAAATGTGAAATCTCTACATGCCGTCATATGCGCTTTTCCTCAGGATTCAGATGCTGACCCTGCACGACCTGGGCCAGAACGACTAGAAGTGTTGACGTCTCATCACTTTCTCAGCCATTCGATAGGTGCTATCGCACGCAATATGCATGCTGTGAGTGAGAGAGGTGGCAGTTGTGCTATGAGCTCGTATGCCATCTAGGACTAAAATGACCTTATCAGTCCTTGTGCGTGTCATTCTATGGGATACAGTAAATTGGCTGCATGCCGGGCGGACCTTGGAATCTCAATCCAATTGCTGGAGCTCTTATCTCTGGTCTGCATCGCTGCTGCTCGTCTCTGGAATCTCTGGGTGCGCTATCACTCGAGATGGATTCATCAACAAATTCCTCAACAAAGGGTGGCCACGGACGCCTTGCATGACTGGATTCACTCATCCTGCTGGTGCCATTAGGTTTGCCTTATCAGGAAGGGATTAATACACAGGGTAACTCGAACTGGGAGGTGGGCTTGATGTGCTTCGCCTGGTCGATCCAATTTTCGAGTTCTCAGTGAAAGCCCCTGAAGTTTCGTTCTTGGCGGTAGGACGGAGCACTTGCAGGACTTATGCTCTCCTACAATCGAAACTAATATCACCCCTCAGCTCATTAGTTATATTCTATGCGTATGAGGGTAGCTTCACAGCTCTATTCCACTGACCCGAGGCTGTTACCCGGCTTTTTCACTTTCGAAAGCTGCCCGATTATACGTCAAAACAGCTTGCCTTACACATATCGAGTCTCCAGTCAACTCATGTCCAGTCTCCATTGTGAGATATAATTTGCCCTGAACATCGAATATAGTCCTCAAAATATCAACACTCAGCTCTCTTTGGTCAGCTATAGTAAGAACAAGAACGAACCACGGCGCAATGTGTACTATGCAGTGGATATTTGCCAAAGCTATCGATCTTTCAGTATCAAGTTTATTGGCGATGTAAGAGAGGGTCGATTGAGTCCACTAGTTCCACACATCGTCGCTTCAGTTGACTTGGTATAATGGCGCGCGTACGGGTGTAGAGGATGATTAACGCCTGCGATTCTTCTATACTAAGACGATGTCAGGTGAGAACAAATAACTACCTTAGGTACGGCACATCCTCCTGTCATGTGATGGATGGCGCCTGCACTCAGCGGCTATTTCAGACGGGGAAACGGATATCTTTCCCCAGACCGCATCGCCTGAGCACCCGAACGAAGTACAGTAGTTACAACATCCATGGATATGAAACATCTGAGTTAATCGATCGTTCAAGTGACGCGCAGTCTGAACTCAACAGCCGTGTTCCGAAGGCGATGCTCTGGTACGGAGCCATAGACGTGCCACACCCACCGAGCGGTTCCCGATTCCAATCGACCAGCAACAGCGAGAACACAAATTTCTCGGCCTGTCAATCCTGTCTGCTTTAAGTCCAATCAACCAATTCCTTATGTCACTGGAGGGTATATTACCGCCACGCTAAGAGATGTGTCAGTGGCTAGTGGTGAGATTCTACATTTCTGCGGTGCAATTTCCTGATTTCCTCCAATGTCATTGGGACTTGAGCGCTTCGGCTCCCATCCCTAATGTGACGGCGCCGACCGTGATGTGATGAGACGTGCTTGAAGGCGCAACGGAAACTTCCGAATGATCACCAAACCAACCGAAGCAGTTTCTGGTGTGAAAGGTCCCAGAATGGTGCAGCCTAAGGACTGTTCGGCGCAACGATATTACCCTGATAATTGAAGCTCTGTCCATTTAGATCCTGGTCTCCCCGCTACGAGGTTGTCATCTCACGCGCTCTAAACTCCACCCCGGGAATTCGTTCTCCCAATGCAGGCTACACATAATGCAGTTGCCTCCCACATTGCTCTTGCGCCGTCTTTAATTCTGCTTGCATCTTGAGATCTTTTCTTTTCTGAAATAGATGCCTTCCGCGGATCACTTCCGGGGAGGGCCTGTCTCGCTTCGATACATGTAGTATCTCACGGAACAATTACATGCGAGCAAGGAATCCGAGCCCTCGCTACTTTCCCCTTGAGAGAATTCGTCTCATGCTCACCTAGAGCTGGAGACAGATCACAGGAATTGCATACCATCAGGGGGTCCAGAGAGACATCTTGGCGAACGAAAAACCAGACAAACGTCAAGATGAGCAGGCAACTCCATCTGGATACTTCCAGTCTAGACAATTTGAACGGTAGGAGTCAGAGATACTCCTTTCTTGCAACACCATCGGAGATGCATGCACCCGGAGGAGTAATCAGGCAGACAGCCTTGCCAACGAGCGCACCGAGCAACCTCCCAGCAGAGCCGAGGAGCGTGCCAGAACAGACACAACTACCCTTAAA